TCCCCCCCCCCCCTTTAGCCTTTTGGGATGAGTTAGAGTCTCGGTGGGGCAATTTATTTGCATAAGCTACATTTTTACAACATGTAGGCTTTAGCCTTTGTATAGGCGAATTTGGACTTACACAATATATAGTATGTTTTTATATATGAGCTCATATCTGAGCTTATCCTAAGTAAGAGTTTTTATCAATCCATGAACGACATAAGAAGGATAGTTTGTGCTAGTATATCTCATTATCAAATTAAAAACTATATGAATCAAAAATGTGCAGCAGGGTGATGTAGCCAGGACTTACAAGTTTATATTTCCCTATAGTTCAACCCCAGGAGACACCATATAATGACATTCTCTGATTTGTATTTTGAAATATATTTGTTTTATTTTCTGTACATATTATCTCCCTACTAAATTGTTTTTCTATTGTTTTTTTTTTTTAATTGATCAATTACAAACTTAGTCAAACTTAAATATGTTACATTTTAACAAATATCTTTAAAAATCCATCATGTGTAAGTATAATGTGAACCTCTCCTCTCATGTTAGCCTTCATCCCTGTAGAAGTAGTATTGTTTATCATTAACGTTTTGTATATTTAGGTATGTATACACTGTGATCATTTGTTCACATATTTTTATGTGTCATTCCGCTACCTTAAACCACCTTAAACAAGTCCTATTTTATCTGATTTAATATGCTGCCTCTGCTGCAATATACTGCCACCCACTTGTTAGCCCTTGTGAGCAGGGTCCATAGTGATCTCATTATACCTTTTCAAAGCAAACTCTACTAACACCTCAGCAAATGATTAATGGCTGTATCCTACAAGGATGTCACTGGAACATTTAATGGTGACACAGGAGAGAAAGAAATATGAAGATTACCATCCAGGGCCCAACAAGTTTATTAAACAGCCATTAAAGTGATCTCTTGTTTGGGTGAGAGTGGGGTCCTATTGTACTGGATTATAGTGATCTTCTGAAAATTACACATACCGGTAGTCAAAGATAGACATAATTGCTGTATATGTATTTATTTGTAATTCATTGTGGATTTAATGACCGGTGTAAACAGTCAACTGAACTCTCAGCAGAATAAAGACAATCTTATTTGTGACCAAAGTGCAGCCTCTTGTGGCTAAAACTTACAGCAGCAGCAATAATTATTATAAAGTGTTTACAAAGCAAACACTTAAAAACCTTTATATTAGTTATATGTCTTATACCCCCTACAGTAATTATAGTGTAAAGAAAACATCATCTAAGCTTTACAGTGGTTCCCAAGCGTTTTCCTTAAAGGACCCCTTTTCTATCATTGAGTAAACTGACAATCCCTGACTGACATATTTTATGGATAATTCATATTATATTCAATGTATAACAGCATAACAGTACAGAACAGCTGATAAACTGTACAATTAACCCAAATAGTGAATGTAATACTGCAGGAAGTTTATGTAAAACCAACAATTTCTTCCTGTGAATATTGCATCATGATTTTTTTTTTGACAGACTGTCTGTCTGTATTATGTTTTTGTTTTTTTTAACAATCATAAATACTTTTTTTTAGCAGTCACTCTCTTTGCCTTTTGTCTAGTTAGAAAACTCTGATTAAACCGTGCTTCTGTCCGAATCCTAAAAGTTACAGGAGAAAAGCTCTGGAAAATTCAGGCATTAAGTTGTTAAGAGGCATTCTGCTATATTAATAATTAAAGGAGAATTAGTGAGCCAGGTTAAAACCAAGGACACAACAAAACATTACATAAATGGATGATACATAACTGTAAGAGTATCTAAGAGTTTTAATGTGCTTTTAAAAGAAAGGTGCAGCACAGTGTGTCTCAACTCTATGAGAAACGTGTTTTTGATTATCTATTTTGGAAAAAGGTCGAGGACTGTGCTTCCTGAGACATCCTGTGGGAGATGCTGTGGGAGTGTAAAACACTGGCATTGTTGTTCTGACACCTTCAGTACTTTTACACCCAGTGTGAATTATGTTTTGCTTCACTGACATTAAGGTGGGTTTCAGACACCCAAAAGGGCACAAGTGGCAGTATGTGTCTATTTCTGGTGGGCAAGAGGAAGGATCTTGTAATAAAGAGACAATAGTTACAATAGAAATGGTCCCATAAAGAATGATTAAAATGTTTGGATCTCTGGCAGCAGCAGCAAGAGCATTAAAACAACATCTGTCTACCTCATCTCGTCTTTTTCATGGTTTTATTTGCTTTCTTGTTTAGCTCATTGTTATTGCCAAAGTTATTGTGCACTTCATTATTTTTGCAATGTCAGTTATTGCACACAATGGGAAGTGTTTGATTTGTATCTGGTTTCTCTAGGTTTTGGGGATTTTCTAATGACATTTTCTGAGTAACGGTCTTCACCACTGGTCTAAAGTTGGACAGCTAGATAAATTAGGTTTTCCCTGCTTTGTATTTTCAACACAAGACATATTTATGATAAAAACCTGTATAAATACACCTGATACGACTAAGATTAAGACAAAGGAGTCCAAACCACAGACACAGTTTTCCAGATAAATCTCAGTCACTACAGATTAATATGCCAGTACAGACTGTTTTATTTTAAGAAACTCTATCCAAAAAACCTGTAAATTAAAACATGACAAAGTAGATGAAAGTTGAAGAAAGCCTTTAAATATGGTATAATAAATTATGCTGCCTTAACACACTGGCACAGTTACCATTAACAACTGATGTAATGGACAGTTTCTTCCATTCACTGCATTTATCTTTTTACATAAATTTAAGTTAGATGTGGAACTTTGTGTAATACAAGGAGTGAGGGGGGCTTGTTGTTTGCGTGGAGGTCCAAGGAAACAGGGAGTTAATTCCTCTATCCTTGAGCATTTATTAACATCCGCAACATGAAAACCTTTGGCGTCTGACTTGGAAAGTGCTTAACATGCATCCTGCTCTGTAAGTTTGGCAAATAAAAAAGAAGTTAGGAGTAAGTAAATGTGTAATATAAAATAAAAATATACAGGAAATGTCTTTCTTTTTGGTCAATTGGGTCAAATTTGTCAAACTTTGTTAACAAAACAAGCGTGAGGAGGAACGACTGAGAGTCAGTTGTCTTGTTATTGTGTTTGTATTGTAATCCCTATTCATAAATTAGTAACCTTATATAACCTTATATAACACCTTATTTGGATAGTCCACCTACACATAGTTTGAGTTTAGTTTTGGTTCAGGAATGTTCATGAATTGCAGATAATCTGTTAAACATCTACAGACAAAGCGAAACAAGTGAAACATTACAAATACTCGGTAAACTATTCGTATGTGGATTATCCAAATAAAGTGTTACCCTCAAATCTCGCCCCTGACAAATCCCCACCATATCATAATGAAAAAAAAGCTAAAACTAATCCTGAAACTAATACAAGCAAACCTAAAACTAAACATTTTGAAACAAGAAAACACTGTGGAAACTAACTGAAACTAAACCCAATTGCTGCAGAATTATTTCCTTGGTGTATATGTGTATCTATGTATTTATTCATATAAATAACTGGCTCATTTTATTTATTATCATTATACAAACCTGTGCTCTATACATTTCCTTGATTCCTTGAAACAGAAACAAAAATAAACAAAGCCTGGTTCAGACATTGACCTAAATTCACATAAACTGACAAGACCTCTCAGAGCTGCACTCACCCTGATGGAGCAATACACCTTACAGTCTCCAGTATGTTCAACTAATAGCTG